GCCTCTCTGCTCCTATGATGCTGCTTGGCCTGCTGTGTTCGTCCAGCGCTGCACCTTGTTGTCTCGGATTCTCCAGCATCTGCAGTTCCTACTATCTCTGACTCAACTTCATTTTGTCCCCACATTATACTCCATTTTTCAGATTTTTGCCCAATCACCCAGCCAATCTAAATCAAGTTCTTCATGTTTACTTCACAACATGCTGAATGTCATAGTGTCGCCTGCTACCATGTCTTTGCTTGCCTCATCTGATTTAAATGAGCAGGCAAGGGCATAGGAACAGAGTCAGTCAAAAGTGGAGCAAGGCTGGAGTGTGATGCAATACTGTACACTTGACAGAATGAGTGCAGCTCCAACTACACTTGAAGTTTGACAATATCCAGGACAAAGCTGCTTGCTTGATTGTCACCACATCAACAAATATTTACTCTCTCCACCATCAATGCTCCATAGCTGTGGTGTTTACCATCTACGAGATGCAATGCAGAACTTCAAGGCAGCTCCTCAGACAGCACCTTCTAAACTCATGAACACTTAGAAAGACAAGGTAAGCAGATACATTGGAACACCATCACCTGCAAGTTCCCCTCCAAGTTGCTCACTGTCCTCACTTGCAAGTATATCGCCATTCCTTCCATGTTGCTGGGTTAAAATCGTAAATTCTTTCCCTAACAGCATTGTGGGTCCAGCTACACCAAATGGACTCTAGCAGTTCGAGAATACAGATAAACATCATCTTCTCAAGGACAAATAGGACAGAAGAACATAAGAAATAAAAGGAAGAGTAGGTCATTTCGTCGCTCAAGCCTACCCTGCCTTCAACAAGATCATGGTTGATCTGCCCCAAGCCTCAGCTCCTCTTTCATGCCAGCTCATCATAGGCCTCAACTTTGAAAGATCTATCCACTTCCTCTTTAAATATTTTCAGAGATCTAGCCTCCACAACTCTCTGGGGTGGAGAATTCCATACATTCACTACCCTCGGAAAAGAAGTTCCTTCACATCTCAGTTTTAAATGCTTGTTCTCTCAAACTTTAATTATGTCCCTGATTTTGTAGGTTATAAATGCTGGCCCAGCCAGCAATGCCCACATTCGATGCATTATTTAAAAGGAATGTTCTAACATGCCTTAGCGGCAAATATTAGACAACAAAATCTCTCACATTTCAGAGGACAGCAGGAAGCTTAGATTCCAGGATAGTTTGAGCTGGTGATGTGTTCATTAAAATTAATGAGTTTTTATCTAATGAAGTAGGAACCACCTGCCATCGTCTGCCTCTCCTGTGCTGCTTCAACTGTATTATCTGACATAAGCTTACAGCTGAGACCACCCTCCAACATAAAACAATGTATTGTTTCAGTTATACAGGGCACTGGTGAGACCACACCGCCAGTACTGTGTGCAGTTTTGATCTCCTTCTTTTAAGAAAAGTTTAAATACATTGGAGGTGGTTCAGAGCAGGCTTACTAGATTTATACCTGGGATGAGTGGAATGAATTATAGGATAGGTTGGACAGGCTGAGTTTGTTTCCAATGGAGTTTAGAAAAGTGAGAGGTGACATGTTTGTAGTGTATAAGATACTGAATAGTCTTGACAAGGTGGAAGCGGAAACAATATTTCCTCTTGTATGTCAGTCCAGATCTAGGGGTCACTGTTTAAAAATTAGGAGGCCCCCTTTTAGGGCAGAGAGGAGAAAGTTCTTTTCTCAGAAGGTTGAGAGACTTTGGAACCTTACCTTAGAAGGTGGCAGTGTTGAAATCATTAAATATTTTTAAGGTGGCTATGGCTAGATCCATGACAGGCAATGGAATCAAAAGTTACTAGAGGGTTAGATGGGAAAGTGGAATTCGAAACACAGACAGATCAGCCATGATCTTATTGAATGGTGGAGCAGGCTCAAGAGACTCAATGGTCTATTTTTGGTCCTACTTATATATATCTCTAGTGAATTAGTCAGATTCCTGACATTCCAAGAGGCTTGCTAAAATTTAACTGATAAAATCTTACTGTAATGGGCTCATAATGAACCCATGCTATTATCATGTAGCTCATTAATAATAACAAACCTGTTCTGAGGTGCCTCCCTTCAATCCTCAGGAAAATGGTAGAGGGCAGAATGGAGGTGCCTTTCTACCATATTGTGTCTGTTCTCGTCTCATTGAGGCCAAGAAACTCATGCCTGAAGCTTGTGTTTCTTACCTATTCAGGGAAACTATCTTTCAGCATCTGCCCAATCAAACTCTGCCAAGATCCTGTGTTGCAATAAGATTACTTTTTTTCTTTTAAACTCCAGGGAGTAAAGACCCAGTCTACTCAAGCTCTCATTCAGAAATCACTCTCTTGGACCTTTACTACACCATCTCAATGGCAAGTATTCCTTAGATAAGGAAACCAAAATTATGCACAATTATCCACATGTGGTCTCACAAAGACATTGTACAATTTTAGCAAGATCCCTTTACATATGTATTCCAACCCCCTAAATAAAAGTGAACATACCACTTACTTTTGTAATTCTTACTGAATCTGCATAGTTACTTACCATGTTATTTGCATGGTGGCACTCAAACCTGTCTGAATATCAACATTTAGGAGTTTTTCACTATTTAAAATATATCCTGCACTACTATAACTCCTAACAAACAATTTTTATTTCTAGACAAAATTCCATGTGTCACCCTATTGACCTCTTAACAGTCTACATGTCTTTGTAGCCTCTTTGTGTCGGTCTTAAAAGGTGATTGATCCATCTAGCCTTGGTTCATTGTTAAACTTGGATATATTATTAACTAAGATAAATTAATATAGATTGCACATCATTGCGGTTAAAGAATCAGAGAGTGAGAAAGCCAAATAAAGAAAATGTTAAAAAAACAAGAATAGGACTGTGACCTTTTCAACACTCACTTTTATCTCACTCTCATTGGACAGAATTTCCAAAGCTTCCAAATGTGATAGACCTTGAAAGTCATCAAACAACATCCCATAGTGAGCAGTCTTCTCAACAGTAGTTCTTTGTTTCTCCTTTTCTTTTGCTTCCCTTAACATCTTTTTGGAAACAAATAATTAATTAAATATATATTTAACAAATTAGGGTTTTTGACTCATACAAATATAAATCAAATATCAATGTCAAGTGAAACATGCACATTTCATCGTATGGTGTGTAACTGAATTGTGAGGTCATTACAAAAAAATGCAAGATTTAATTGACAATGCTAAGTTAAGCAATTTCTCTGAGGCTCAAACACCAATGGGAAATCAACTGTCTAACAATGGAAGTTAAGCATTGCTTTAAATCAAAGGAAGTGGTTGATCAGAATACCAGAAAAAAAATGTTAAGTATGAAGACTGAAGGCAATTGAGAAACCAGCAAAGGTTGACCAAGAAAAGGCAAAGGAGATTTTGAATGTACGTGAGAAATAAAGGTGGACTGTAGAAGCACCAGGGACCCAGATTCGATCCCACCCTCAGACGACTGTCTGTGTGGAGCTTGCACATTTTCCCAGTGTCTGTGTGGTTTTCTTCCGGGTGCTCTGGTTCCTCCCATAGTCCAAAGATGTGCAGTTTGGGTGCACTGGCCGTGGTAAATTACCCCTACTATCCTGGGCTGTGCAGGCTAGGTGGATTAGCCATGGGAAATGCTCCAGGGATTGGGTAGGAGGGTGGGTCTGGGTGGGATGCTCTTTAGAGGGTCAGTGTAGACTCAAATGGCCAAATGGCCTGCGTCCACACTCCACACTATGTTCTAAGAAAAGGACTCAAGGTTTCTATGTTCTAAATGAGATATTAAACCCAGATCTCATCAGGACACTCCGATGTGTATTAAAGAAAAGAGAAGTCACTTGCAATATATTGAATAATATTCATCTAGAATCATAGAATTTATGGTACACAGGGAGGCCATTTAACCCATTGTGTCTGTACTGGCTCCCAAAAAAAGCTATCTGCTAGGACCATTCTACAGCCCCATCTCCATAGCCCTCTAATTCATTACTTTCAAATTAATATCCAAATTCTTCAAAATTTCATATGGAATCCATCTCGACCACCTTCCCAGGCAGCGCATTCCAAATCCTAACAATTCTCCGAGTAAAGAAGTTTCTCCTCATCTAGCTCCTAGCTCTCTTGCTGAGTATGAAATTAAAGTAATTTGTAATGATGGGGTGTGGACAGTAGCTACTAAGCTCTTAGGGCGTCATTTAAATATCTTACTAAATTGGGTATTATTAAAAAATTGAAAATCCAGCTACAGGTGAGAGATGTAAAGATGCAAATGAACAAGCTCTTTGCTTTCTTCAAAGAGGGAAGCCTTCCCTTTTCTTGTGTTGTTGCAACATCTAACACCAATATCTAAGACAACAGTTGAGATCATCTGCTTTCATTCTTTAGTCTTGTTCTGAAAAGGGCACTAGAAGCCGAGCTAATTACTGGCTCTGAGCAATTATTGAAGTCAACAATGGAAACAATGCAGGTACATAAGGTTGTTGCATCAGTCTGGGGAACAGTATGTTGGTGCTCCTGAAAATTCTGCTACATGCCGTGTAGAGTTCTATATGCTAACATGATCAACTCATACTAACATAGAAATGAGTACTAAAACAGTGGCATGTTTCTGAACTGATGGCAAGCTCCCCGATGAGAACAATAAAAAATTAAGCTATGTAATCCAGTTTAATAATGCTACAGTTGGTTTTTATTAAAGTGTAATTATTGGAAGAGGTATTCTTAATACCTGGGACAAAGTAGCAGTTCGATGTATTAATATTTTTGTTTTCTTGAATCCAGGGTCACTCTCTGCAAGGACATTCATGGTCTTCTTGCCAATAAATTCTAGTGCATCCAAGCCACCTGTGATCACAGTTTTACCCTAAATAGAAACCATGGGAAGCAACAAGTAGTATGTATCATTATTCACCACTTTTACAGTTGATAAATTTGCTACAGCGAATACGGATTCCTATTTCAGACATGTTCATTAGACTGGCAAAAACCAAAAGAACTGCCGATGCTAGAAATCAGAAACAAAAATAGAAATTGCTGGTAAAGCTTAGCAAGTCTGGCAGCATCTGTGGAGAGAAATCGAATTAACATTTCAGATCCAGTGACTCTTCCTCAGAATGTGTGTGTTCTGAGGAAGGGTACCTGGACCTGAAACGTTAACTCTGACTTCTCTCCACAGATGCTGCCAGACCTGCTGAGCTTTTCCAGCAATTTCTGATTTTGTTTCATCAGGCTGATTACGGATTATAAATCCACTTACAGTATTGGATCCTTTCTAGAACAATTCATGCATAAGCTCACTACGTGGAAGCTAGTATTTGGAACTCTACACAAATGCTGCCAGATCTGTTGAGTTTCTCCAGCACTTTCATATTATTTCAGATTTCCAGCATCTGCAGTATTTTGCCTTTGTTATGGAAGCTAGTGTTATCTGATGTGTTTGAGTATGAATGCCTTTATTTCAGTTGGACTTGAAAAATACTATGTAAATGCATATCAATCCCTTTTAACAAAATGAAGCCAGACTAGAAGTAGTTTATTAAGAAATAAATCTTGCATGAAGATTACAGTATGTGCTTCCCATGCTAACCAGTTTGCCTCATTTCACTTACTGTGCTTTGAACAACATTAGAAATTGTTGAAAGCATGCCACGAGATCCAGCAATGGGGGAAGAGGGTGGAACATGTACAGAATCGGTTTCTTCTTGTGGATCTGTTCAGGAAAGTCAAAGAATTTACTGAGATTGCAACATCTCTCAATAATTACAAGACTTGAAACTGCACAATTCCATCAATTTATTTAAACTATTTTCTACAATAAATACAGCAGATAGACAGAAATCATTTCCTAATCCTTTTCACCATATCTCAGTCTCTACAGAGCCTGACACAGAAAATAGGTTGAAATTAAACAGGTATTGTTGAGACTAACAAGAATGTGACAATGTTTAATTTTATTTAAAAAAAATTTTTGGTGCATAGCATTTGACAGGGACTCTTATTTCAAAAAGAAAAATGTGATCATTGTCCCAAAATAAGCCATTACTACATGTCTAAAGCTAGGATGACATCATGTTCTGCTCCACCATTTCCAACAGGACCATCTGCTGATGAGTTCCTGCAGGCAGATTTTAGGAAGCTAGGAAATAAATTGAAAAGTAGGACCTCACAGATGTTTGTGGGAAAGAAACTGGCATATGGAAAGAGTATCATTTAATGGTAGTTACCACATTTCAGTTACATTTAGGTGTAGTTACGGAAAATCATAATGCTAGACAAAGAATAAAAAATTCTCGTTTGCGAGAAAAGCTAATTTATTAAACGCTGAGGTTTGATTTGAACTAGAAACAGTTACCTGGAGATAAAGCAATGTGATAGTAGTTGGAGGCAAAGGGGAGATAGAGAGGTTCAGAACAAATATGAAACTGCTTAAAAAAGGGGGAGACTATCCCACCTGAAATTCCCACTTTCTCCCCATTGTCAAAGAACAATCAGCGTAGGACAAAGCAGAAAAAGGAAAAACACGTAACAGATATCAACAGCTATAAACTGCAGAAAATCTATAAGAGCACAGAATGTGCACTGAGGATGTTAAGAAATTAGGAAAGCAAAGAGAGGGCATGAAACTACATTGACAGATAAAATCAAGAGAAACCTAAAGATGTTTTATGAATATATAATGATCAACAAGATCACTAAAGAAAGAGTAAGTTCCAAAGAAATGTCACAGACCTTATTATGTTAAGCTGCTTGCCTTTCTACAAATGCTGCCTGACCTGCTGAGTGTTTTCAGCATTTTATATTTTTGTTTCTGATTTCCAGCCTCTGCAGCATTTTGCTTTTGCATTAGTGTTTTGAAACAGTCCAACGGAACAAAGCCATGTTTGAGAATTTCAACGGCAGATGAATCAAGACATGAAATGAATCAGGCAATGTTGCAAAGGTGGAATAGGTGGTCTACATGATGATACTGATTTGTGGTCAAGTCTGACACCAAGGTTGTGAAAAGTATGGTTCAGGCTTAGGCCTTTGCCAAGAGGCAGCATGGACGCCAGCAAAAAGAGTTCAACTGGAGAATTAAGATTAACGGTTTTGGGGAAAGTTTCACTTCACTCATTAAGTCTGAAAGTCAGACATGCAATCTAACAATATAGACACTTGAGGAAATGTTAGAGAAACAGAAGATACTGTGATTAAAAAAATGGCACAATGCATGCATGGATAGTGCAGAAGAACTTTGAATGAGAGGTATAAAGCGTGGAACAAGATGAGATGTTTAAAGGGGGAGGAACTATAATAGAGGAACTAGGAGACAGACAAAAGTATGACCTTAGGATGGAAAGGAGAATGGCAGGCAGACCAGGTCAAGGGGTCAGTGGGCTTTTTAAGAGATATCAAGGGAGGCCCTCGCGGAAGCCATAGGGTAGTTCGGGAGGGATTCAAGCCTGTTACAACAGCAGGAGACTAGGAAAGATGAAAGCTGTAGGATTAGTGTATGTAGGGTAGAGAAATGATAAATAATCATGATGATAAGAAGGCTTAAATAAAAGGGAAACAGGGAAACGAAGGGCGAGAAACAAAAGTTATGGGCTTGAATCCGGAGCAGTTCCTAAACATGCTCACAAAAGAATGCAGGAAAATGAAGTCATATAAATGCCGATAGTTGTACTTTGAAATGCACAAGTAAGACACAAGAGGCAACATATGGAACATTCTAAACTTAAAGTCAGAGCCCTGATAAACTGATGCAAGCTGGGTAGTATTATTGATAGGCTGATGTCTAAATGAGTGAGGTCAGAAGCTATTCAACAGGCAGAGCATTGATGTAAGTATTTACAATAATTTAAATATTCGCTATGATCGGCTATTGCTGATGCTGTATGTCTGCATGAGGACAAGACAGTCAATGACGCCTATAAGAATCCCCAAGAAATCACTGCTGAAAAATCACAAAGACAAAACACTTTTGATGAGACCACCAGAAGATATAAAATGCTATTTGAAGTAATCAAAATCAAGGAGCCAGCACCTTACCAAAAAGAGAAAGGGAGAAAACAGGCAGGAAAAGAAAAGGCAACTTTCTTTTTCAGATACCTGATATTGCTGTAACTTCATTTGGCTCAGGCAGTGTCGTCTCCTCAGATGTTTGGGAACTGTGTATTTTAAGGGATGCTTCTGCTTTCTCCATTACGGTGCTCAGCCCATGACCTGCAATTGAAATTATAAGTATTAATTTGTTTAAGATACAGATAATATTCTCTCCTTCAAAGCATATTACACAAAAGAAAAAAAAAATCAATCATTCTTTTCCATGTATTAAATGTTACTGAAAAGGAGTTTTAAAATCTCTTATCAGTTATAAATTGGTTATCTGATTATTTCAAATAGAAATTAAATTAAATTAGTGCAGCAGACTAATGTAATTAATCTTAACCATTAGTAGACCCACTGCCAGGGTCCTCTGAATGTCACTCCTCTGGACGACTGTCAAACACCTAAAATTATCCATTCACAAACTTAGACAGTCCTATAAATTACTAAATACCTGTTGCCAGCGCTGAGCCTCTCAAATTCTTGTGATCAACCTCATTGTCTGCAGAACCTAAAGTACCAAGCCAAATCTTACCACTTTGACACATCAAACACATGTTAACCCTTCAAATAATGGGTGGGAAGTAAAAATGTTAAAATTTTCAAACCCAAACCAAGCCTGTGTTGATCATGTCCACCTTTGATTATTTAAATATGATAACGTGATCATGGTCCTTCAGATTTAACATTTATTTGAAGCTTAACTCTAACTGGCTGCTTTCCTCTGTTCCAGGGAAACCCGGCATCTAAAGTAGGAATTACTGGATGCAGCAGCTAATAAACTAAATACTACCTGCTTCAACCCACCACTATACCAGCACTCCGTTCTGCCTCCATCAGTGATCCCCTAATCAGTCCTTCCGATCAATCCTTCCCGAGCTATGGCCTCAGATCTTTCTCTCCCGAAGGTCCTTCTAATCTCCTCCCTCTCCTGACCCAGCAGCATCCTGTGGTCCTTCTGTTTTCGTGTTCTCCCTTTTCCATTCCTTTACCACCGTTTAGAATAGAATAGGATAGAACTGCAATTTATTGTCACTTGTATTTAAGACAATACAGTGAGACGTGTAAATGTTGCCACAGTTCGGCACCATCTTAATTACAGATATTACAAAAGGAAATAATGATACAAAGCTAGGACAAAGTTTATCTTTTAATCCCCCCATAGCCCCTGGAGTTATGAAGCAGCTATGGGATGCTGCTGCTAAAGCAAGGATTTCTGGACCGGACCCACCACGTTGCCACTGCCAAAGCTGACACAACAAGGAGGATCAGAACAGACCCACCAAGTCGCTAGCGCTAAAGCCGTCACTCAAGCCATCGCCACTTCAGTTGCTGCCCAAAGCCGTCACATTGCTGCCACAGCCACAAGGAACGAATCGGAAACACCACGCCGCCACTGCCACTATGGCAACCGCTGAAACCGCCACACCACTGTCAGGAAGAACAGACCAGACCCACCAACGACAAAGCCTTCAATAAAGCTGCGGCCACTATGGCCATGGGGAATGGACATCCGGATCCACTACACTGCTACTGCTGCAGCAGGCCCTCCCAATCGCCATCCTCCATCGCAGCCGCAGAAAAGAAGGAAACATGAACTTTGATAGAAAACAAAAAAGAAGAAATGAAGAAACAAAACAAAAAAAACAAAATAAAGAAAAAGAAAAATGCAGCCAGCCACGTGAGTGAAGCGGGAACATAGGGATACAGAGCCCAAACACTTCCTACCCTGCAACCAACCTCTGAACACACTGAAATAGAAGCAAAAGATGTTAGTCAGGTTCTGCTGTCAAATTTCAGGAAATTGCAGGACCCAAAAGAAACATACTTCCATGTTTCCCAAACTCAGAACAGTACCTCTCCTTTGCTGAGCCACAGAGCTACAGGATTAAAACAGTAACCTATAAAGTCATTGGACGTCCTGTTGGAAAATCCATAGTTGACATACTTTTAGTTCTTGTCGGCACTTCACTAGATGACACTTACCAACAGTTGCAGTTGCTGTGGACAGCAACGATTTCCCCCAGGTTCCCCAGGATCCCCAGGCTTTTCTTTTGTCAGAAGTTGATTCCTGTAGAATTCATGCAAAAAGTATTATATATTAAACTTATTACGTTTGGTTTGTTACTGTTGCTGCTTAATTCTGAGCGGATTTCTTGGCAGTTTTCCGTTGCATTCTACTCTCAGGGGCACAGTGAGGAGACAAGTTACAAGTTTAGCTCAGCTGGAACAGAATTGAACTTAAACTTGTTTGCAATATTCTGCACCTTAGCCATCAAGCTAACTGAGCTAATGATCACACATTTATTTAATAGCACAAGCCAGTTGAGGTTCTTTGACAGGACGCAGTGTAACTAATATCTAATTTCATAAAATGGCTATTAGTAATAATAGACAAATAATAGTTACACTTTATTGATTTTACAAATTAGGCCACATTTAATTTCAAAGCAGGAATTTTGGCTAAGAGGTTGACGGAAAAAGTACATTCTTGATGCAGAAGTGCCGAGGGACAATCCTGCTCAGTCTCCTCCTGAGCTCTGCACCACCATACATTCAAACAATTTGACTCAATTTGCATTTAGCCCCAGTGATAATCTGCTATGGTTCTGAAGACTTGGGCATGGATTTTATGTGCTCCTGCTGCACATGTTCTGCCAGGGGAGGGGGGGGTGGGGAACCAAATGCAGCAGATTGGGTCCTGCTCACTCCACAATATGCTAGGTGGAATTGGCAGCCCACCCTACATATTTAAATATGTAAAGGTTGATTAGACTTATGAACAAGTCTCCTGATTTGAACAATACATTGCCTCAGCATAGTACAAATGCCAAGGGCTCTTGTGACTCAATGGTACTCTCCCTGAATCCAAGTCCAGGTTCAGGTCCCACTTGCCCAGAGGTGTCACAACATACTCAAACTAGTTGTTTAAAAATAATTTCAATATAGCTAGTGTAATTTCAATATAGCATGTGGGTGGGAGTGGCCAGGTTGTTTTTAAAGTCCTACACAAGAAAAGATGGGGGGTGGTGCATGGAACAAAGACGCAATCAACATAAATGTCATGCAGCATAACTAAAGTATTTTAATAAACTAATATTTGATACCAGTTAGATACATAATCACAGAATGCATCACAAAATGGATGTCTTGCTATGTTAAAAACAGAAGCGTGACCCTTTATTGCTCTTCATCAATAAAGTAGATGTAACCTGTCAATATTTCAACTGGTGTCAAATAATCATAGGAAGGCTTTGTAATTTAATCCAAATAGAAAACACTGATCATACACTAAAAGCAAAACACTCAATGATGAAGACATGTAATAATCAACTAGCAGAACATTTTATTATCTTGGGAAAATGAAATTTAACTGGTCAGCATTAGGGAACCTAATCAGCCTCATCACATGCATGCCAGTGAACAGGGTGAAAGTCAGTGTTCTCGATCCTGATCACATGGATAATGCTGAATTAAATGCAAACTCCTGGAACATCAGAGGCTGAGGGATGACCTTATAGTAGTTTATAAAATCATGAGGCACATGGATAGGGTGAATAGCCAAGATCTTTTCCCCAGGGTGGGGGAGTCCAAAACTGGGGGGGCAGAGGTTTAAGGCGAGAGGGCAATGATTTAAAAGGGACCTAAGGGGCAACTTTTTCCATACAGAGGGTGGTGCCTGTATGGAATGAGCTGCCAAGTAGTGGTGGAGGCTGATACAATTAAAAGGCATCTGAATAGGAAAGGTTTATAGGGATATGGGCCAAAAGCTTACAAATGAGACTCGATTAATTTATGCTATCTGGTCGGCATGGACAAGTTGGAACAAAGGGTCCGTTTCCATGCTGTCCAGCTCTAGGACTCTATAAATAATTCCTAACGTGCATGCAATTCTTTGTTGGTTTGGAGCATCTGTGAAATTTTAGACTGGATTGAAATCAGACGAAAGCCAATCAGAATTTTGTAAAGCATTATCAACTGCTTGCCAATATATAGATAGCATTATTGCCAGATGGAAAACCTTTATTAGTTAAAGATTTGTTCAGTCTTTTTAGAACGTTGTTCAATATATACATTGACAATGTAAACTTTAACCAAACCAGATGATGACTTAATAAAATATTCAAATAATTTATTATGAAATAACTGTACTGCCTCAGTTTACATTCTATTCAATCATCAGTGGTACAATACCATTCTAGTCATCGTGAAAAATGCTTCTCACAAAGAAAAGAAACAAGAATAATTCAAGCATAATACTTTTGTCTGCAAAATAACCCACAACGGAGGCTGGAGATTTGCATGCTAATGATGAATAAAATTATTCTGGTTGTTCAAAATTAACTTTCAAAGATAGTACATACCTCAACAACATTTTCCTCTGTTGATGCATGTTCATCAAACACCTGAAATCTGATGGATTCTGGTTCAAGACTTATTGCTTCCTTGCACCCAGCAGATATGTTAATTGTTTCTTCTGTCAACACAGAATCATTTGCTGCACTCTCTTCTAATGGATCACTTGGCTTAGGTTCATCCCCAGCCTCAGTATGGCGTATGGTGTCTTGTTGGATGGAGCTCTTATTCTCAATTGGCACTAGATTGGGGTTGGACACCAAAGAATCACTCACTTGTGAAGACGCTGCAGTGGCTGGAACTTCAGCATCATTTCTAGATGGTACACTGAACTCATCTTCCACAGACAAGCTTGCCACTGCAGCTGAAATATCACTCCTTGTGCCATCCTCTACCTCAGACATTGCCAATCATATCTGTCAATAAAATGTTTAATTATTATTGCTTGCATTTATTGTCTAATCTCCGATAAATGAAGACAGTTGAACCATTTAAAACACAAATAAGCAAGGATTAAAATAAAATTACAGGAGTGTACAATGGCTGGAATTTAGGCAAGACCCATTTTGGGCTGACTATCGGTCAGAGGTCAATTTCACAGCAGAGACCCAAGAGTATCAAGTGCAATTTGCTGACATCGCTGTTTGATGCTGGGTCCTGGGTCAATGTATCTGACTCTGAGGGACCACCCACTCCGCCTCCTAGACGTTATTAGCAGTTTACGCTGGGCTGTTTACTGAAGGCACAGGAAAGCAGTACAGCTCCCATTAAATCCATGAACTACCACTAAATTTTGATAGGCATTATGGGTGCCAATTGGCTCACTGATTAGCCCAATTGACATCCCACCTCCAGCAGCTAGGAATATCATGTCAGCTCCTTCTGGCTTTCCACCTAATTCAGGGATGTTTGACGGATTTTCCCATCTTGATGGCTTGCACTAATTCCAGCATATTGTCCTGATCACAATACCGGCCTTTCCAAGTATTGCTTAGCTGGCTGGTCTAACTCATGGACATCTTCTCATGCAGGAGTACCATTCTCTGTTAATTAACTGTGAAGCATCAACAAGTGGTGCACAAAGAACTCATTAGACAGGTTGTTGTTTCTGGACTTTGTGTGTGCTTAGAAATTACTTGGATACAATAAAGGGAGGGCAACTTTCCTTTTTTTTTGTTTCCCCCACAGCAGTCATTTCAACACACACTCGGACGTCCATCTGAGTGACACCATGTTTGAATCTCTCCAATCAACTTTCTGCATCTTTCACAGTGCTAAAAGAGACCTTATTAAAGTCACAAAAGACCTGGCTTGATGCTGAAAAAGACTGTTGGAATGATGGAGTGTGTGGTGGACATCACAGCCAATGGCTGTGACTCTGTGACAGTGAGACTGACTTTATCTAGGAGATAGCAAGAACTGCAGATGCTGGAGTCAGAGTCTTACTCAGTGTGGAGCTGGAGGAACTCAGCAGGTCAGGCGGCATCAGAGGAGTAGGAAAGCTGACGTTTCGGGTCGGGACCCTTCTTCAGAAATCCTGCTCCTCTGATGCCGCCTGACCTGCTGTGCTCCTCCAGCTCCACACTGTGTTGTCGATGCTTTTGATCTTTTACACTCTGTCTTTATCTAGTTAGTGAAAGTTGAGGGTCTGGAAGATATTGAAGGAGGAAGTTTGGCAAGTTGTTGCAGAGCATTTGAACACAGTAGAGTTTAGATTTAGATTTTTATTGTTACGTGTACTCAAGTACAAAAGTACAGGAGTACAGGAGTACAGTGAAAAGTGTATAATGTCACTTCACAAGGCACCATCTTAGGTACAGGTACCTAGATACAGAATCACAAGAACAAGCTAGAAAGAAAGAACAAAGTTAAAATCCAAACATTACAGTAATTCCTAGTTATAAGTAGAAAAATAAAGAAATAAAGTTAAAAGTCAAACATTACTGTCTTTTGAAGTGTTTAGCCATGTTGGGACCGCACTTCCTAGAGGGGCTTAATCTCCTCCTCTTTGCCATGCTTTCCCCAAACAGTCCATTCTAGGACTCCACACCAGGCCTAATATGCCGGTGCCAAAGCAAATGCTGCTCCTGTTGATCCACCCAGAGTATTGATTCGGGCTTACCGCATTGCTGCAGCAGGCCAATGCGACTGCAAATGCTGCTTTCTCTATAGGTCACAAGGGCTGCCTGCCATTGAAAGCTGATGCTACTGCCACCACCTCAAGTACTGCACTGGGCCCACCAACATCAAAGACTCCCTGCTCCAGTGCCAAGACTCGCTGCTGGACACACAACCGCTCTGTCGCAAGGTCCCTAAAGGCTCGCTTAATACACACTCCTGTTATTATGTCAGTGGCACAGGAAGTGAAAGCTTAGAGTGATGAATAGGCTGCTTTGGCCTGGATGATTGTCAAAGTACTTGCGTACTATCTGAACTGCAGTCATCCAGTCAATGGGGAATATTCCATCATACACCTGACTTGTGCATTGTGGATGGAAGACAGGCTTTGGAAATACAGGAAATGAACTATTTATTGCAGAATTCCCAGCATGTGACTAACTCTCACAGTAGTATTTGTATGTCTGGCTCAGTTCAGTTTCTGGTCGATGGCAACCTTCAGGATATTCATAGTCCAAACCTGAAAGTTGTCCAGGTTTTACTGCGTTTGGGCACAAACTCTTTAAGTACTTATCTGAGGAGTTGTGAATGGTGCTGAACTCTGTGTAGTCATCAGTGTTCATCCCACTTCTGACCTTGTGATGGAGGAAAGGACATTACTGAAGCAGCTGAAGATAGTTGGACCTAGGACATTACCCTAAAGAACTCCTGAATGATGTTGTACAGCTGAGATGACAGACCTCCAATTACCACACTTGCATCTATTCATGGTAGTATTGGCAGGAATGACTATCACAGAGTCCTTGTGAAGACAATGTCCCACCTTAACGGTGAGAATGCTCTCCATTGTGCGCTGTGGCACACCATTATATGAAATAGGACAGATTCAGGACAGATCAAGCAGCTCAAAACATGACATTTACCAGGCACTATGGGCCATCAGCAAAAGCAGAACTGTATTCCACCACAATCTGTAACTTCTTGTTGGACAGCTGGGTAACAAATACTGTATTGCCAAGTATGCCAACATGCCATAAAACAAACAAAAGCTCCAATCCTCCAATTCGGATCTTGAGCATGATTTGAATTAATATACAGTTAGGATTATGCCTTCAGTTGCCGGGGTTGCAAATACTGAAAAGTCCTCTAGAAACCTCCTGAGTTTTAACTTTGTTCCTTTAAGATGCTTATTAATAACTACTTTTTGGTATCTCCTTGTATGGCTTAGTGTCAATTTTTTTTTGATAATGTTTCTGTGAAGCACGTTGGGGAAGTTATATAAGGAAGGTACTTATACAAGTTAAGGTTTTCAAAAAAGTAAGTTAGAGTCATAGAGACGTACAGCACAGAAACAGACCCTTCAGTCCAACTCGTCCATGCCGATCAGGTATCCTAAATTAAACTACTCCCATTTGCCAGCAGTGGGCCCATATCCCTCTTAAACCTTTCCAATTTATATACCCATCCAGATGCCTTTTAAATGCTGTAGTTGTATCAGCCTTCACCACTTCCTCTGGCAGCTCTTTCAACACGCACCATCCACTGTGTGGAAAAAGTTGCCCCTCAGGGCCCTTTTAAATTTTTCCCCTCGCACCTTAAATCTATGCTGTCTAGTTTTGGACTTGCCTACCCTGGGGAAAAGATCGCGACTATTTACCCTATACATACCCCTCATGGTTTTATAGACTTCTACCGGCACGGTGGCTCAGAGATTAACACTGTTGCCTCACAGCGCCAGGAACCCAGGTTCGATTCCCCTCCTCAGGCGAATGTCTGCGTGGCTTTCCTCCGGGTGCTCCGGTTTCCTCCCACAGTCCAAAGATGTGCAGGTTAGGTGGATTGGCCATGCTAAATTGCCCATAGTGTTCAGGGAGGTGTAGATTAGGTGGGTTATAGGGGGATGGGTCTGGGTGGGATGCTCCGAGGTTCGGTGTGGACTTGTTGGGCCGAACAGCCTGTTTCCACACTGTAGGGATTCTATTCTATTCCATTCTAACAAAGTCACCACTCAGCCTCTGATGCTCCAGGAAAATAACCCCAGCCTTTCAGCCTTTCCCTACAGCTCAAACCCTCCAACCCTGGCAACATCCTTGTTAGTCTTTTCTAAACCCTTTCAAGTTTCACAACATCTTTCCAATAGCAGGGAGACCAGAATTGAACATAGTATTCCAAAAGCAACCTAACCAATGTCCTGTACAGCATAACATGACCTCCCAACTCCTATACTCAATGCACTTACCAATAAAGGCAAACATACCAAACGCCTTCTTCACCACACTATCGACCTGCAACTCCGCTTTCAAGGAACTATGAACTGAACACCAAGGCCTTTTTGTTCGGCATCACTGCCCAGATATCATTAAGTGTATAAGTCCTGCCCCAATTTGCCCTACAAAATACAGCATCTTACATTTATTTAAATTAAAACCCATCTGCCACTTCGTGGCCCATTTGCTCATCTGCTCAAGATCCTGTTGTACTCTGAGGTAACCGTCTTTGCTGTCCACTATACCACCAAATTTGGTGTCACCTGCAAACTTACTATCCATACCTCCTATATTCACATCCAAATCATTTATATAAGTGACAAAAGGCAGTGGACCCAGCACTGATCACAGGCTTTCAGTACAAAAAGCAACCGTCCACCACCACTCTCCTACCTTCGAGCCAATCTTGTATTCAAATGGCTAGTTCTCTGTGTTCCATGTGATCTCACCTTGCTAACCAGGCTACCATGAGGAACCTTGTCAAACACCCCAACGAAGTCCATATAAACAATATTTACCACTCTGCCCTCATCAATCCTTTTCTTCAAAAAAACTCAGTCAAGTTAATGAAACACAATTTCCCAAACAAACCATGGTGACTATCCCTAATCAGTGCTTGCCTTTCCAAATGCACGTAAATCCTCTCCCTCAGAATCCCCTCCAACAACCTACCCACCACAGACGTCAGGCTCACTGGTCTACAGTTCCCTGATTTTTCCTTACCACTGTTCGTAAATAATGGCACCACATTAGCCAACCTCCAGTCTTCCGGCACCTCACCTGTGACTATTGACAATGCACATATCTCTGCAAGGGCCCAGCAATCACTTCCTTCGCTTCCCACAAGGTTCTAGGAGAGACACCTCATCAGGTCCTAGGGATTTTTCCACTGTTATGTGTTTGAAGCCATCCAGCACCACATCCTCTAAAATATGGACATTTTTCAAGATGTTGCTACTTATTTCCCCATGTTCCATATCTTCCATATCCTTCTCCACAGTAAACACCGATGTGAAATACTCATTTAGTATCTCACCCATCTCCTGCGGTTCCATGCATAGACGGCCTTGCCAATCTTTAAAGGGCCCTATTCTGTCCGTAGTTAGTTTCTTGTCCTTTGGATTCTCCTTAACCCTATCTGCCAAAGCTACATCATGTCCCCTTTTAGCCCTCCCTGATTTCCCTCAAGTATACTCCTACTCTTCTACAGATTGCCTAGAATGAACGAACACCCAGGACATATTCTATTTCCCAGTGTTCCCCAAGTCAGATAGAACACAACAAACAAATCTACTGGAGATTGGTTACAGTGAGTATAAAACTTCTAAGAATGAGAGGCCACAAATTTAAGGTGATTTACACAAGGAAATAAATCGCAAAATAAAACTCTTGCAGAGCAAGTGATGCAGGTCTGGAATACACTGCCTGGAAGTACGGTGTGGCAGATTCAATCAAGGTATTTAAGAGAGTAATAGCGAATATTTAAATAGAAATGACATGCAGTGTTATGGGAAAGGATGACAGAATGGTACTAAGTCATGATACCCATCCAGAGAACTGCTGCAGACAAAATGTACTGTATGGCTTCAATCTGTGATCTTTACGGATGAGACGTTTCAATTAATAGGATAGACTAGAGACGTTAGAAACAAAACCAGAAGTTGCTGGAAAAACTCGGTAAGTCTGGCAGCATTTGTGCAGAGAAAGCAGAGTTAACATTTCAAGTCCAGTGATCCTTAGTCAAACGCTTCCGTTTTTGTTTCTGATTTCCAGCATCCACAGTTCGTTGGTTTTTCTAGGGAAATTTTCCTTGAAGATAAGCTTAAAAATCACAACAGTCCTGGACAGGGTAGATGGGGAGAAATTGTTCCCACTAGTGAAATTACGGTGGCACTGGTCGCAAAGTGTTTTACAGAAGAGGCAAATGCGAAGTGAGAGAAAACAAGAACTTTTTCACATAAGGACTGGAATGCATTGCCTTGTAGTGTGGGGGAGGCAGGTTCAAATGATGCATTCAAGATTATTTAAGTAGCAATGCTCAGGGTACGGAGAAAAGGCAGGAGATGGGCAATAAGCCAAAAAGTTCAGGAACCAGTGCAGACACGACGGGCCGAATAACCTCTTTCTGCACGTTATGGGTTCTGTGACATAGCTAACTGTGAAGTAAAATCAGTCCGTGATTAGGAACACTCTCGTCACTCCTACCCCCACCCTTCCTCAGGTGTACGATGCCCCGGGGTGAGAGAAGCTCCCCTTACTGCTGCTGCTTTCCCCAGATCCAGTCTGGATTCCTCCGGTCGGACAATGACCGCTCGAGGCCTTTACCGCCCTCTCCACCAGCGTCCGTTACACTTTAAACCCGGGGGGCTCGAGACTCACCTGTCCACGCGCACTACTTCGCCCCGCTCTCTCTTCCTCTCCCTCACACACTCTTACTCCCCGCCCTTCGCGGCGCCGCCACGTCGACAACATACGGACCCATCCTAGATCCGGAACCTTGTAGCCAGGGCGGCGCGGCCCACCGGAAAATAACAACCCACCCAACCTCCAGCCCATGGGGGAACTTGTTTGGTGTTGCACTCGCGCTGAGTGCAGAATTCCGTTTGTGATTTTGAGTGCGGACTCTCTCCACAGATGTCATCAGCACCCCTGGTATTTTTGTTCTGATTAAGTCATGCCTGTTGTCCCGGCTTCATCATGGTTATCTACTTGCACAGGCAACTTCCTCATTTTCAAATCTGCAACTTAGCAGGGACTAATAACCTCTCACTATTTACTGTCAACGCAAAAACTGAGTGTTTTAAGTGCAACATTGAAGAAGGATTAATGTCCACAGTGCAAAGCCGAACTTCCCACCGATCCATGCAAACCTTGTTTATAATAACACGCAAGGTAAATTTTAGCACTTGATTATTTCAATAAAGGAGTTGACCCTCAGACTGGGTGCCGATGTTCAACAAGCATGCAAAAATGCTAATGGCGGTTGGTCTTTATATCAAGGGGAGGAAGTCTTACTTTGAGTTTCAGGCATATTTGGGCAGATCCCATCTGGAGTACTGCGTTTCAGATTTGGCAACGGGAACTCAAAAGTTATATTGACCTTGGGAAGAATGAAGCTCAGATATACCAGAATGATGCTGAAGTTTACAGGGATAAATTTTTAGGACAGATTGCTGACATGTAACTTCAATTCCCTTTGTCTGTTGTGGTTTGGTTACAAAATTCTGGGTTCTAGTTCCACTCCGAGATTTAATAACAAAAATCGAGGTCGGCACTCCAGTGCAGTTCCAAGGGAGCGTTCCACTGGCTAAGGTCCCATATTTTAGAAGAGATATTAAATTAAGTTCCCGTCCCGCTGCTTGATTGGATGTAAAATATGCCCATTACACTATATTTAAAATGAGCAAGGGATTTCCCGCCCCCTTGACCTGTCCGTCCTCCCTGGACTGACCTATCGCCTCCCTACCTCTCCACCTACACTTACCTTTACTGGCTCCATCCCCGCCTCTTTGACCTGTCTGTCTTCTCTCCACATATCTTCTCCTCTATCCATCTTCTATCCACCTCCCCTCTCTCCCTATTTATTTCAGAACCCCCTTCCCCTCCCCCATTTCTGAAGAAGGGTCTAGGCCCGAAATGTCAGCCTTCCTGTTCCTCTGATGCTGCTTGGCCTGCTGTGTTCATCCAGCTCTACACCTTTTTATATCAGGGATTTATCCCGGGTGTGTTGACCAATATTTATTCTTCGTTCAACATCGCAAAGGAAAGACATCGATCATGATCACATTACTGTGTGTGCAAGTTGCTATGAGCATGCGAATTACTGTGTTTTCTACATTATAACAACGACTGCACTTCAAAAAGAACTTCGTTGGCTGTAAAGCATTTGAAACATCTAGTCATCATGAAAGGTGCTACACGAGCGTAAATATTGGTTGTCATGGTTAATTGAATTTTAAATTGTACTGCCTGCTTTCGTGAAATTTCAACCCATGTCCTCAAAGTATTAGCCTGATTCTCTACAATACTGGTCCAGTAACATTATCACTGTGCCACTGTCACCCTCGGTGCCTAGGTTGATGCCAGGTGGACCTAGTCTTTTTTTGACTTTACAGTGGTGGTACTTTACTGTAACTGAGTGGCTTGCTAGGCCAATTCAGTGGATCATTGTAATCATTTGATAGTGCAGAACTTGATTATTGCTGAACCAACCTGTACCCACAAACCCAAGTTTAGTGTTATAGACTCATCAAGCAAGGAAACAAAACCTTCATCCCAACCCATCCACGGCAAACAGCTTTCCTAAACTGAACTAGTCCCATTTGCCTGCATTGGCCCATATCCCTCTAAACCTTTCCTATCCATGTATGTGTCCAAATGTCTTTTAAATGTTGTGATTGTACCCACATCTACCATGTCCTCTGGCAGTACTCTCTATATGTGCACAACTCTGTTTGAAAAGGCTGCCTCTCAGACCCCTTTTAAATCTTTCCAAGTCCACCTTAAATAACTCTTTGCCCTCTCACCTTAAACCTATGCCCTGTAGTTTTGGACATCCCTACCCTGGGATGCCGCACCTAAATTAGATGTAATTCTGAAGTTGGATAACATTTTCTACATAATCCTGGATGTTTGAAGAGTTATGCTAACAACTTATTTAGGATTGTCAGTTGGGTCAGCAGTATGGCACACTTGGCATATCCTGGAAATTAGATATATATTAGTACAGTTGGTGCAGTTCTTTACAGACAAAGAATGTGTACAAACATTGCGCAAGTATCAGTGCAACAAAATAAGTGTCATAGATTCTCAGGTTCATTTGTTAGGGCGGCACTTTGACCAATAATCTAACCTGCTTTGTTTAAAATTTAAACAAAGTTTGGCAATTACCTGTCAGTTATCTTTAAGCAATGTATTCTCCATGGCAGTGAGGGGGTGCAGGGTGATGGGTGTTGGGAGGAAAGGAGGCTTTTTTTATTCATACATACACAGGATGAGGGTATCGCTGGCATGGCCAGCAATTATTGCCTGTACCTAATTGTCCACATTGCTGTGGGTTTGAAGTCACATACAGGCCAGACCAGGTAAGGACAGCAGTTTCCTTCCCTAAAGGACATCAGTGAATCAGATGGGTTTTTCAGACAATCAGCAATGGATTCATGGTCATCATTAGACTCTTAATTCCAGATTTTTATTGAATTCATATTCCACCATCTGCCATAGCCAGGTCCCCAGAATGTTACCTGGGTCTCTGGATTCCACTAAGCTGTCACTTCCCTGTTGGGTCTATGGGAGAGAGATCTTGGTCAGGACTGGGGTTTGTCAGATCCCTACGGTGAAGACGATTGTTGCCTGTTCTGGGGAGGTGTGGAAGGTTTCAAGTTTTGGTTCTGAGCGTGGGGAGGGCAGTTTTGGGTACTGGAGGAGTGGATGGATCATGGTCTGAAGGAGGTGTTGTTGGGGTGTGTGAGGTAAGTACATCTATATTCACAGTCAGCGCTCTGAGTCATATAGTTATACAGCACGCAAACAAACCCTGTGGTCCGATCTGTCTGCACCGACCAGATATTGTAAACTAATCTAATCCCATTTGCTAGCATTTGGCCCATATTCCTCTAAACCCTTTGTATTCTTGTACCCATCCAGATCCCTTTTAAATGTTGTATCCACCTCCACTACTTCCCCTGTTATCTCAACCCAAACACGCATCACCCTCTGCGTGAAAAAGTTGCCCCTTAGGTCCCTTTTAAATCTTTCCCCTTTCACCTTAAATCTATGCCCTCTAGTTTTGGACTCCCCTACCCTGGGGAAAAGACCTTGACTATTCACCCGACCCATTCCCATCACGATTTTACAAACCTCTATAAGATCACCCCTTAGCCTCCAACACTCCAAGTGTTGCACAAATGTTCAGAAGAATGGACATATTGTGAAACTGGTCAACTTTTAGACTGTTGTCTGACAAATCATTGAAGGTAACAACCATAAATTTGAAATCAGGGTATTCCCTGATTCCACTTTGTCGTCACACTTTCATCCTTGTTTGGTGCAGAAGTGAAATATTTTGATATCAGTCACACTATTGTATTTTCCCAATTCATAATCAGTTGTCTTAGTGATTGCTGTCTGATCAAATGCATGCCACTTTCACAATTCCTCTTCTGGAAATTTGCTTTCCAGATGGTCACGTAGCAGTTGACTAAATTGAAAGATTGCAGCAGTGTCCACATCAGTGTTGAGAGGAGCCAGAACCTTCATAACTTTATCACTCCGATAGACACTTCCTAGATACTGAGTCTTCAGTTTATTGATCTTGGCTTTTGCAAATTTCAAAGCTTCAATTGTTTCAAACAGCTTCTCCGTAAGAATATGCATAGTGATGCCAGTTCACCTAGAACATTGTTCAGAACTTTTGATGGAATGTGATACTGTGGCTTTGTGAGATTTCAGGCAATATTTGTTTATTGGATTAATGCACTTATTCACTTGCTCTGTGCAGTACTCGATCAAGTACTCAATGCGTAGTTCCGCATTAGTGCACTCACTGCAATGTGTGTTGACAGCTCTCTCACTGCATTCAGAGGTTGAAATGCCACTGTTTCACAGTCTGTGACTTCGATAAAATCTTCAAATTGTCCTTTCTTCACATTGTATAAACTGTTCTTGGAAGCGTTTCAATATCTTGTGTCCAAGCATCATCTATTCGCTGGTCCTCTTTGACCAACGCAGTGCCGTTCCCACAAATGTTTGACTTTTCATAGTAAGATTACAGGTACTCTAGTTTTCTTTGCTCTGACAGAAGCTCTGTCTGCCTTCTGTAAATCAAGGCCACTGTTAACAGAAAATTTGCTTGATGTCACACTTGAGGCACTGTCACAAGCAGTCAGTTTCAAAATTCCTGCAAAGCCAGTCTTTTTTAGCAAGTTCAGATTCTGGTTGAAATGTGATCAACATTTTTTGTACTGAAATGTCCATACTTCTGTCTGAACTCACCTTTAGCATTTGCAATAGAGCTAGTATACATATGACATTACCTGCTTCATGATAAGTGAAAATCCCATCGATTTGTATGTTCTGGAATGCCATCACTGAATCCTACAGCATCAATATACAGACAGTTACCATTGACCAGAAACCTAATTAGATCAGTCCATAAGTGCATTGGCTACAAGAGCAGGTCTGGGGCGAGGAATTGTATGGCAAGTAATTTGTGTCTTTACTCTCCAAAGATTGCCCAACATGTAATAGATACTAATCAGGATTGTGGTAGAATACTCTTCTTTTGTCTGAATGAACACAACTCCAAAAATGCTAAGCTTGATACCAACCAAGACAAAGCAATCTGCTTGATTGGCATTCCATCCAGCAGCTTAAATATTCATTCCTCCATTACTGATGCACAGTATGTACCATCTGATGCACTTCAGCAACTTCCCAAGTTCCCTTCAACAGCATCTTCCTAACCCAAGACCTTTGCCTCCTGGAATAACAAGGACAGCAGACATGCAGGAATATCACCAAGTTCCCCTCCAAGCCACACACCATTCTGACTTGGAAATATATTGCCTTTCTTTCACTACTGTTGGGTTAAAATCCTGGAAATGCCTATCAGCACTGAAAGTGTGCCTAAGCCATGTGCACTACAGCGGTTGGAGAAGCAGCTCACCGCAATCTTCTCAGTGCAATTAAGGATGGACAGTTAGTGCTGGACTTGTCAGCGATGCTGATATCCAGTGAACAATTGAAAAGAACTTACAGGCGAACACAGATTTAGGGATCTTTTTTAGTCAGGGAAATATTCCACTGCAACTTATAACTCCAACTTAAAAAGGCTTTATGTGGAAAATCAGTACCACCTCCATTGGCATGACACACAAATCCTGAACATCTGAAGGCCTTCTGCCCTGACCCAAGTGCCAGGTTCAGGTTGTTGTGACTGTCAGAATAAGTTGTATTTTGAGGGGGATATTGTTTTACCTTATCATGCTAATAGAGCATACTTTGTTTTAACTGGCACCTTACAAGCTGGCAAAAATTATAAACCTGTCATACCGGAAGTTTTGTATTGTTGTGATCACCGCAGTGTCCGAGTAGTCAGTTGCGGGTTAGTGAGAAGGCTCTCTGCCGATAAGTTTTATTTAAGACAAAATTGCATTATTATTTAACTGATTTCTGCTGCAAGTAAAGTATCACAGTGCATTATGTTTTGATTACTTAGTGTGTACTTTTACATTGATTATGTGGATCTCTTGATCAACCCGCATATTTGATCAACTGGTGCACTCCTGGTCCCATAGCTGCCAGTTAATAAAATGCTTGCTGTAACAAGTTCTGAAACATGTCACAGATGGCACATTTTGGGAAGGAAGCCAAGGAACCTTCTAATCTAGTAAATCATGTTTGCAATGGACAATTTGCAGTTCTACTGTTACACACCTGTCTGATTTACTGCTGTAAAGGTCTTATGGAACCAGGATGGCCACCAATTTTCAGCTTTGTGGTTACTGATGATTTACAAAATGGCCATCAGGTTGGCCACATGATGGCTTCTCATTTATATCTGGAAATTAAGCAGTACTGTGAGATTGGACAGTATGCCACACTTCTGTTGATATTCAGCAGTAAACGAAAATCTTGATCATTTTTGATCAACACATCAGCCACCTGCTTGTTAGCTGTCTGGGTGATATAGTTTCTAAACTTTTAATGAAATTCAGAAAGAAAACCAAATACATGAAACTGGCTACTATTTTCGGCTTTGAAGGTGGATCAGCTTTAACTTGTCTTTTCTGTCCATGATGTGGTCAGACCTGATGAGTTTTCTCAACATTTTGTCTTTCTCCGAACTTAGCAAGAGCTTCTAGTGAGAATATTTTGTTAGTATCTTCTGTAATATTGTTGATGGCTTTACCATAACCAGTAACTGCAAATTACTGTATTCAATTAAATTTTAACAGTTTAATTTAAAAAATGGGTCCCCAAGTTATTAATGCTGACATTCACCATTTGAATCTTACAAAAATTAACAGACTTTCCAGACCTAAGCTGGTCTGTATTCCCTCTTTTATAGCTGTTTCCCTTTCCCTTCACCACATCTGGTTTTGTAATTACTGAAAGTTTCACTTCTGCTTTTGACCTTCCAGCCAAAGCTTACTGCACTTAGAAACAAGAGCAAATGTTAATGTTTTTAGTAGTGTGTTTCATGTACTTAGCTGTCTTTCTATAACATACCACAAAATAATGACTAATGTATGTAGCAGCAACTAATTAAAATAGTTACAAAGCATCAGCTTCAGGTCTGTTGAAGACCTTCTTTTAGCCCACGTATTGTGGTATTCAAAAGAAAATTTTCTTGCCAGCGATATCATTTTGTATAAGTAGTAACAGAGGAACTTTTTTGGACTGCTTTGCAGATGTTGGTGCAGAGACCATGTCCATTTGCAGAGGTAAGAATCTACATTTTTAGTACATTTGCACTTTAATGATTATTTTCAAATATGTCAATCAAATGTAATGTTTTATAACTTAAGAAGAAAAATAGACTTTTCAGATTGTACAACAGATTTTCAATTGTATGTATGATCATCAGTAGAAAGTTTTTTTAATGAGCTGCAAGCTGTCAATCAATCTAATGCAGCCTCTCCTTTATAAATCATGGAGAACTCTTTTTATATCAATTAGCATGTTTGCTAAAATTTATTTGTTTGTGAAGTGTTATTGGATTGCTGTGGTTCAATTGAAGACCCACCACCACCTTTTCAAAGACAACTAGGAGTCGGTAGTAAGTGCCTGAATTGACAGTAACTGCCATACTGTGACAGTGATTAAAAATAAATCACAATGGGAAGGGAATAAATAGATTTCACAAATTTTCGGAGAGTACTTTGGAAGACTCACAGTCGATCTCAGATACTTCTTTATTGGCCCAAATGAAAATTGAAAGAGTCAGCTTTGATCCCACTTGCACATGATATAGAAAGATTAGAATATGCCATGTAGGGACCCTCAAGCCTATCCTCAGGACTTCAGAAGGTAGATGGCTGGAGAGGGTGGATAGAATGACACTGGTTAGAGTGTACAGCCTTTGTTGGTTCTGGAATCAATTGCGGCCACCTTGGCCCCAATTCATCGGAATTTCTGCTAAAACCACTCTAGTCTGCTTTAAAAAAAACTCAGTATCTGTTATATTTTTGTAATCTCTCCATGAAATATCTTGGGCCTAACTTTCATGTTGTGCAAGAAGGTGGTTTTGAATGAACTAAAATCTCTTGGTGTCTGATTTGGCTCAGTAGCATTCTGACATTCACAATGTTAGCAAGCAATCATCATTCTACGAGAGCTCAAAAAATGAATATTTTAAGTACAAGTTGTGATGATATCTTTTACCCTTGGAGTCTTTCAAATAGATAAAATTACATGATGATCTGTTTATCAGTGTCCTAAATTGTCTGCATTTGACCCTGTAATTGCAAAAGGCTCTTTGCCTGCACATCAAAACCAGTGATTTCCAAGGCAGTTGACTGTATCAAAGATGATGCACATCTAACTAAAGCAAAAAAGAGCACACAATTTTTTTTTGGTTCTCCGCCGCATGCTGTTTATTCCTCCACACCACCTCTCCCTCCCACACTCTGCTCTGTTTGTTGCTTCCTCCTGCTAGCTGCTCTCTCAGTTCTCAGTGGCTTGTGTTGCTCACTTCTTTGCTTGTTCCCTGTGATTTGTGCATCCCCACCTGATGTCTACTTGCTTGCTGGACCCTGTTATTCCCCTACAATTACCCATCCCACCAACTGCTACTTACTCACTTCTTCCTCACTTTGTCATTACTCCTTTTACTATGTTACCTTTTGTAACTGTGTGATAAAAATGAAAATGTACAAATGTACAAATGTATAATTTATTATTACATTCTATCAATAAATTAAATGTATAGAGTAATATATACATGAATGTTACCACCTTGCAAAATAGTGCTTTGGTTTCTGATTGATTTTAACTTAGCTTCAGCACCAAGCATATCTAACAAGAAAGAGGTAGTTATTTTACATTTTTAGCTTAGTGCTAGTTTTATAATCTTCTGAACACCTGTGACAAGTTGCGATAAAGTTAATACATTATTCAGTTAAGCATTTGTCTCATGCACTGGATGTTTGACAGGTTTTGAATAAAGGAATTATTTTGACAGTAAACATCTCATAATTGTTTCAAATTTTATTTATCAATTTGATATGCTGAAGCTTGTAATTCCTGCTTTACAGATAGAAACTTATCTTGGCATGTTTATTCTGAAAATTTTCAGAGGAAAAAGTTAGTTTTGTAGAATAGAACTGTATTTAGATCTGATAAACTGAAAAATACCTTCATGCACCAATTGACCTGACCTTCCGGTTGCCCTCTACTTTAACTCCTACTCCCAATCTTCTGGTGACATATCCATCCTGGGCCTCCTCCACTGTCAGAGTGAGGCCAAACATAAACTGGAGGAACAATGCCTCATATTTCTGCTTGGGAGCTTACAGCCCAATGGCCTGAATACTGACCTCACCAACTTCAAAATCTCTCCTCCCCCAACCTGTCCATCTTCCGAATCACCATCCGCTCCACCCTTCCCACCGACCAACCACAATAACCCCTACCTACACTACCAACTTCAAAATCTACCCACCCTCAACCTGTCCGTCTTCGTACTCCACAACCTGTCCATCCTTATACTCACCTATCTGCTCCACCGCTCCCACTGACCAACCACAATAACCCCTACCAGCATCCACCCATCTCCATCTCACCTACCTCCCTGCCCCACCCCCTCCCTCTATTTATTTCTGGGCTCCCCTCTCCCTTCTCAATCTTGACAAAGGGTTTTGGCCTGAAGCATTGACTTTCCTGCTCCTCAGATACTGTTCTGACCTGCTGTGCTTTTCCAGTTCCACATTTATTGACTCTAGCTTCTAGCATCTGCAATCCTTACTGTCTTCAAGTCTGGAAATATTGTTTTGTATAAAACTTCTGTATTTGCATTGTGGTTTTCAAACAATCTTTTGACAATACTTAAGTATTGCTGGAAAAAGTTGCCAAAGTTTTCATTTTGCACTCATCAGGACAATTTGCAAGAATACCACTTTAAAGGGAAAACCAGCATCTATACTGCATGAGACGTGAGTGCTGGTTGGTTAGCAAATGGACTCTGTTAGTGATGTTGACAAAGAGAATGCACCAATTAATGATGATTGACAGCTGCCAGGCTTTGTTTTAATTATGAACTCGCCAAATTTACTCTAATTGATCAAGGTATTAGTCCTGAGAAATAAACCAATGAATGATTGTGAATTATTTTTTTGAATTGAAGCAGGCACAGTGCATGCACATGTTTTCTTTATCTTCAAAGAACAGGGCCTTGTGAAATTATATAAAGATCTTTCAGTGTCTGCAAGTTCACCACACTGCAAGCTCAACAGACAGTCATAAATGGGCTGTCAGCATTATTCTTTACACACTCAAGATTATTTGGCAAATTCTGTCTGATTTCAGAATCACACCTAATGTTAGACATTGTTGAGAATTTTACAAATGAGCGCTGGTTGGGAATGGTCAGTACTTTCCTTGTTGTGAACAGCAGAAAGGATACGGTGTTTGATACAACCTTCGAGTCTTTGGAATGTATGGTCTGGATCGCAGCAGCACTACAATTGATATTTCCCATTCTTCCTTTGTGTGATCAAAAGATTGTCTTTTTGGCTTGATGACAACATCCGATTAGTGGTGAACACCACTGTGGCATGAATTTGAAGCTCCCTGCAGACTAACTTGAAGGTGAGTGGTTCATTAAATCCAGCGGGCAACTTCCCCACCTCTGCCCCTAGCACCACTGCAAATATTATTTGATGCAGGATATATCTGCACGAAATTTCAGCTCCATAACATTTATAGATCTTGATAAGACCTCCAACCCCACTCCATAAAACAAAGTATTCAGCATGATCAACATCCGATTCACTACCTTAACCATTCATTCCTTTCACCACCAGTGCAGTGTGGAAGTAATGTGTAGCATTAGAAACTTAAACCTCCATTGAAATGATTGTCTAGACCTGTGATCTTTACCATTAAGAAAGACAAGGACAACAGGTACATGAGAATGCCACCACCCAAGAGTTACCCTCCAAGCCACTTGCCATTCTGTCTTGGAATTGTGGATATTTTCAATCAACCTGATCTGATGTGTTATACACACCACTGGAGCAGCTGAGACCTGACCCCAAGCCTTCTGGCTCAACATTTCATTCAGCTGCTGGGTACATTTCCTGGAATTCTCCTTTCAACCACGTTCAACCACTTTCAACCACTGTTTGCAGGTACATTTGATGAAGTGCCATGGTGCATGAAGGTGACTAAGTGTAATGGAATATGCATTAAACTTTAACCCTTAACAATGCTTTTAAAATTATGTATTTTCAATACACGTGTATGCGAACCAAACAGAACTTTGCAATGTTAATATATCTTAAAAAAAGGGCAAAAATTGCTACCTTTCCACCAAGGAAGTCTGTGATTGTTTTGTTGTTTGAAGGGATTACACATTTATTGGAAATCTTGTCATTGCAACCCCTTCTTTCACAAGCTTCAGACGGAAATGCAAATGTTCAAGAGAGGAGGGAATGGCGAACAGTGGTAGATGTTTAAGGAAATGTAAACATTGGAAGTACCTTTACCTGTATTGTGTGAGTGTATGTAAGGAGTTATCTGCAAAAAATAGTAGCTATAACAACATCTGAAATTACTATTGGACCCAACTGGTTTACATATGTAAATTAGAAAAGAGCATATGGCATTTTAGACAGGGTGCTGTAGTCATTTGGCATAGAATTGGGATGGAGATTCCATCTCCAGTCAAGAGGGAGTTAAGATCAAATGGCACTTGGACAAAATAACTTAGTGTGTTAAATCTTATTAGCTCCAGCTATCTGAAACATAAGGAAGCTACCAAAATCCTATTACTAGAGAGATCTTCTGAGTGAGAGCACAGGTACAGTGACCATTGCTGCCAAGCATATCTTGGAGAGGAAAGTTGGAAACCTAGAGCACAAAGTAGGTAGCTTATTCCTAAACCTCATCATTGCCAGGCAACAATTCTAATATGATTGGCACATAATTGAAGAGAAGAATGGATAATTAGTTTTACTGGGCATTATGATTGAACTGCGCACTTAATATGTCCTTATGAGATTGATGTAGAATGATACCCCGGCCATTAATTGCAAATGATGATAAGTCAAGATACTTTGCAACCAGCTTCCTGAGAGAGCTGCTTCCTGCTTAGAGTGCTGGATTAAATTAAAATTCCTGGTGATAAAAAAACCTTGGCGTTTTATGTACACAGAGTAATTGCACTTCAGTATCTGAGAAGGAATAAAAATGGGATATCAGATGCAGCCACTTAAACATAGAAACATAGAGGATAGGAGCAGGAGGAGGCCGTTCAGCCCTTCGAGCTTGTTCCACCATTCTTCACAATCATAGCTGATCATCCAACTCAGTAGCCTAATTCTGCTTTCACCCCATAACCTTTGATCTCATTTGCCCTAACTGCTATATCTAGTCGCTTCTTGGAGACATTCAGTGTTTTGGCATCAGCTACTTCCTGTGGTATGAATTACACAGGCTCACCACTCTTTGGGTGAAAAAACGTCTCCTCATCTCCATTCTAAATCGTCCACCCGAATCCTCATATTGCAACCCCTGGTTCTGGACACACCTGCCATCGGGAACATACTCCCCTGCATGTACCTTTTCCAGTTATGTTAGAATTTTATAAGTCTCTATGAGATCCCCCCCCCACCACCATTCTTTTGAACTCTAGCGAAAACAATCCCAACCTAATCAATCTCTCCTCATAGGTCAGATCCGCCATCCCCGGAATCAGCCTGGTAAACCTTTGCTGCACTCCCTCGAGAGTAAGAGCATCCTTCCTCAGAAAAGGAGACCAAAACTGCACGCAATATTCCAGGTGTGGTCGCACCAAGGCCCTGTACAACTGCTACAACATATCCCTGCACCTGTGCTTGAAAACTCTCGCAATGAAGGCCAACATACCATTTGCTTTCTTTACCTCCTGCTGTACCTGCATGCTTACCTTCAGCAACTGGTGCACAAGGACGCCCAGGTACCGCTGCACACTCCCTTCTCCCAATTATAGCTGTTCACGTAGTAATCTGCCTTCTTGTTTTTGCTTCCAAAGTGAATAATCTCACATTTGTCCAAATTATACTGCATCTGCCATTGATTTGCCCACTCACCCAACCTGTGGAGATCATGCTGAAGGATCACTGCATCCTCGTCACAGTTCACCCTCCCACCCAACTTGGTATCATCTGCAGACTTAGAAATGTTACATTTTGTTCCCTCATCCAAATCATTAATATATATTATACTGACTCATCTACATGTGTTCATGAGAGCTTTCAAAGTCTTCTCTCTGAAATGAATCAGTCGTAATAACAACAATGTATGTACACATCAACTCTCACTGGTTTGAAGTGTACTGTATGTTGACTACTAACTGTCACTACTGCGATTAATTCTGTTAGATTGCTACATTTTTGTTACCATTTCAATAACATTTTTTGTCTTTGCCATTTTGTAACATGTCACTGAATTGCATATTTTATTTTCAGATTAACGTTACTTGAAAGATAGTAGTAATTTTCATACTTTGTTTTATGTTTCAGTCTCCTCATTAAGCAAAGTAGATTCCACAAGAGAAATACATCAGTGTTCAACTGCAGGAAAGAAATGCAAGAAAGTACCCCAAAATGGTCAACATTCTCTTCTTCTTTGTGTGGATTTTAATGTTTCAACCCTGCCACAGTCTTTGCTTTCCTGTAGTGAATGATATTGTCAGAAACTATTCATCTTCTTCATTGTCCACTGTGCCAAAGAACCTACCAAATCTCACAAACATACTGGATTTATCACAGAACAACATTACTGAGATTCATATGCAGGATTTTGCCCCTCTCCACCAGTTGAAATATTTGAATTTGTCCTCCAATAAGATCAGCAATTTAGCACCTGCTTTTTTCAGGTTTAATCAAAAGCTGGAATGTTTAGATCTTTCCAGGAATCAACTCATGAATGTCGAATGTGACTTCTTGCATAATGTTACGTCTCTGAAATATTTGGATATTTCTGAAAATAATTTTCTTAGTCTGACACTTGGAAAGGCATTTAGCTTTCTGCAAGATCTGGAATATTTAAGTATAGGAAGCAGGAAAACAATAAAGTTTCGAAAAGATGATCTTAAAGAAATCTCAGGGAAGCAGTTGCAGGAAGTTTCAATCAAACTAAAAATGTTGTCAGAGTATGACCCTAGTGCCTTAACGATTTTGAGAACAGCAAAACTCCACATTGTTTTGCCATCTATTAAAAGCTTCCATTTTTTAAAAAATGTCTTGGATGATGCCTTCAACACATCTGACATTTTAACATTATCAAACTTTGAATGCTGCCAAAATTGCAACCATTTGAGTGTTGACTGTTGCCAAGTTTGCAGGAAAATAAGTAAGAGAATGAGCCAGTGCTGCAGTGATTGCAGTCATTATATTGAAAGTTTTAAAGTATTGGGAAAATACTCAAGAGTCCAGAATCTATCTTTACAGCATTTAACGGTGGATTGGGAAACTTTCGCAAAGATATTAAAAATTGTTTGGGATTCTTCAGTTGAAAAGCTCAGCGTTTCTAACATGAAAATATGCCAAGTTAGACAACACTTGTCTTGGTTTTTTATCCAAAAAAAATTGAAGACATTTACTCTCAGAAAAGTAAACATCTTGCCATTCTATTTCAGTCAAGCAATTATATATGATGTCTTTGAAGAGCTAAAGGTTGAAAATCTGACAATTCATGAATCAGGAATGATTTTCATGACTTGTCCAAAAAAAGGAAACACATACAAACTCATTGACATTTCTGATAATTCATTTACCAGTGATTTCTTTTTTCAAGGCTGCAGGACCCTAAAACATTTGGAGACTTTTATTTTAAAACAAAATAGATTTGTTCAATTATTTGAAGTGAGTAACATGACCACATACATGACATCTCTGAAACACTTGGATGTGAGTCAAAATCATCTTATTCTTGATGAGATTAGAATTTGCCCTTGGACCAACAGTTTGACAAAGCTGAACCTATCTTCAAATAGACTTACAGATTCTGTTTTCACATGTTTACCCAGCAATCTAGAAATCCTTGACTTGCAGAAAAATAACATTTATACTGTTCCCAAAGTGCTGAAGAACCTGAACAATTTGAAGGAATTATACCTTGGAGCTAATAAGTTAGCCAGTCCACCTGACTGCAACAAATTTAGAAATCTTGAGATTTTGTTTGTTGAGGCAAACTCGTTTCATGAACCTTCAAGCATTTTTCTTCACAGTTGCCAAAGACTGACTGTTCTGAATGCTGCCTCCAATCCATTTACATGTACCTGTAATTTAAGAGACTTTACCACAATGAACAAAAACACCCACATAGAGATGATAGGGTGGCCAAAGTCCTATCGCTGTGCCTATCCAGATATCCTTAAAGGAACATTATTGAAGGATTTCCATTTATCTGAAGTGACATGCAGTCCAACCCTCTTACTGGTAATTGTACTTGGTACTATGTTTGTATTAGCAATCCTAATTGGGTTAATGTGCCATTTTCTGGACTTGCCTTGGTACTTGAGAATGACATGGCAATGGACCCAGATGAAACGAAGAACAATGAAGACTGACTCCTACCAGTTATCTGAAAATTTGGCCTATCATGCTTTTGTGTCCTATAGCCAACATGACTACAGTTGGGTGAAGGAGCAGCTACTATCAAACCTAGAAGAGAGGAATTTACGAATCTGTCATCATGAAAGAGACTTTATTCCAGGCAAAGGTATTATTGAAAACATAATTAACTGTATAGAGAAGAGTTACAAATCGATTTTTGTTTTATCACCTAATTTCATTCAGAGTGAGTGGTGTCATTATGAGCTTTACTTTGCACAGCACCAAGTGTTAAGTGAACAGACTGAGAACTTGATTCTAATTGTCTTGGAGCCAATTCCTCAGTACCTAATTCCATCTAAATATTATAAACTTAAGTCACTTATGGCGAAGAAGACCTACTTAGAATGGCCTAATGACAAAAACAAACAGAGATTATTTTGGGCCAATCTGCAAGCAGCTATAGGAGTAAGTCTGATGGCTCCAAGGCAGGATATTGTTTCTGTACATAATGATTAATTGTATTCTGAGCTACATCGCTTTAACCTTCATAGTGTACATATATTCTATCAGTGTGTTCAGTTTATAAGATTATAATGTTTTGAATTGTGCAAAATTAGAGAATTTTTTTTGGAAAAATATGATAACAGCAAGCCTCCTTCAACAGGTTAATTGGCTGCACCTGCCAATTAGTTTTAGATTAAAAGCACAAATAAAGTTGGCTACTTAGTAACATGTAAATCTGAGCAAGAAGAGCAGCAGAGTTTTAATAGCATGTGAGAGAAAAGGTGGATGAGTTAATCAGTACTTTAAATATCTGGTTGGCATCCTTTCATCTCTGAGATGATTCAAATGCAGCCTCAGAACTTAGGTGAGGTCAGGTGAGATTACCTATTGCACTTCTTTAGTGGCTGAAAATGATTCTAAAAAGGTAAAGTCACGTTGTTCCTTGTTGTGGTATGGGATGATCTCTGCTACACCTGAAATGGGGTCTTTAAGTAATAACAAGGAACTGACAATGCCTGAAACCTGGCAGATCTCTCACTGACAACAGTAGCAACAACTTGTATTTATATAGCATTTTTAATGTAATAAACACCCCAAATCCTTGATAGGAATATTAGAAAGGAACATTGTATTCTCAACCACATATTAGGACAAAAAAAAGGTCAAAAAAGGAGTACCTTAAAGGAAGAAGGTGAGGTAGAGAGACAGATAGGTTTAGGGAAGTAATTCCAGAGGTTAAGACTAAGGCAAAACCTTTGATTGTAGGGTAATTAAAATTAAGATAAAACAAAGAACAGCGGATACCAGAAATCCGAAACAAAACTAGAAATTGAATGAAGAGTTACCGCTCTTGAAATGTCAACTCTGCTTCCTCCCCACAGATGCTGCCAGACCTGCTGAGTTTCACCAGTGATTTCTGTTTTTATAGTTAAAATTGGGGATACTCAAAGACTGGATGTGGATGAGAGCAGATATTTTAGAAGGATGTGATGTTGGAGGAGTTTACAGAGATAGGGAAGGATGAGGCCACAGCAAGTTTTGAAAATGAGGAAGGAAGTTTTAAAATGAAGACATTGCATATCGGAGGCTGGAGGAAAATTTTAATTATTGAAATAAGACACAATATATCCCATACGAAGCAAGTTCATTTATCAACAAGGTGCAGAAGCCAGTGATGTTTCATGGAAATAGGTAAACTCAACAGAACTAACAAAACTGTTTCCTAATATCTGTATGATTGAGACCAGAGCATAAAGATCAGTGTTTCAAATTGGAGCAAACTGACATGCACCAAATGTCCAAAGGGTGATGAGATGATTAATTTTGCTTAGGAGAATGAGAAAGGTTTCTAGACAATTCAGTGACATATATGCTATAGAAAAATACTTCTCTTTGGAAAAGCTAACCTAAATAATCAGAATACAGTTAAATACAGTTGTACTTGTTGAGGTATTGAAATTAAAGCAAAAAGAACCATAAAATTTAGAGTCAAAATTTAGAATTCCTTTGAGTAAACCATGAAATTAGGATCAATGGGAAAGGGGAAAAAGAGCTTAGCAAGAATTGATCGTGATGAATGTGTAAAAGGAAACTTTCACAGAAAAACTTTTAAGTCCATAATTTTTTGATAATAAGATACATATAACTTTCTTTATAATGAATTAAGATTTTGTTTTTGTCGTGATGTTTAATAGTGGCCAAATTAAATTTACTTGTGATGCACATACAGCTTGGAGAGGCCCATAAAACATCAAAAAGGGAGAGAGAGGGCCTGGCTAGAGGAGAGCACCAAATATGAAGTTTCAAGAATTGAAAGGATGATCAATAACTGGGGCAATACATATGTGTGGCATGTGTTATAGAGATTTAATATTAACTGATTATTGATTCAGGCAAGGCTAGAAAGTAAGTTGAAGTATAATATGAAAAGTGACCTAATGTGGGTCCACTCAAGTTCAAAAGGAGTGAATGTTGGAATATTTTGTTAATTAGGCAAATCTAAGAAAATAAGGTGTTATATCTCCATATCCTCCTGCATATCAACCAGAGGACAAATGTAAGGAAAGAGTTTGGACTGGTGGGCAAATTTTCTGCCAGGTATCTTCACATACTATGTGCCCATCGCCCCCATCCTCTGTTGTAGAATATTGTGCAATTAGTGGGATTATCAGCTTGTTGAAACATATCATGAGTCTCCTCCTTTGACCAATAAGTCGTGGCATGGGACATGAACCCAGAGGTAGGTGACCTACCAACAAATGGAAAGATGCACTTTTTCTCTCTGTATAAACAAATAAGACAGTTTTGAACCTAAAAGTAACAGAATTCTGCAGTTTCAAGATTATGGTTACAGGCAGCTCAAGATAATTTAGTACTTAGATAAGGACTACAATTTCTAAGGTGTCTAGATACTAGAGCAACTTATAATATAATGTATGGTAACAATGTTGGTTTTGAAAGATACCTATGGTATCAGTACTTGAAGGCCATAATAAAACGTGTGCTAATAAATATTGGCCTTTGCATTTCTGGGTATAAAAACCAAGTTTGTGAGACAGAGGTTAGATATGGAGATAATTGAGATGCAGCATAAAACAGCATCTTGAGTTGCCGACTCTCAAAATGGTCTGAAGTCAACATTGTTCTGGGCACCTTATCTGAAGCCAAGGAACCAGATTGTATCATTGTTTGTCATTTTCTTGCTTATTGTTTAGTGTAATCTGAAAAATCATGTTAAAAAATCTTGTTGTCCCATTATTTGTTGAAACGTATTGTTGAATAAACTGCTTTGACTAAGTTTTGCCAGTGTTGTTGTTGAAGGATCAACAAGCTTTTATTAAGACAATATTATGGAAATCCACTTTCATAACCCATTACTTTCTGTGTGAAGTAAAATGCATGAAATTAATGATTTAAACAGGAATGATGTTCAGATAAAGTGTAATATCGGTATTAAATCAGAAACCACACTTAAGTCGTGTGAGAATTATTTCAGAGGATTCAACTGATGGCTAAATCTCTTCTATTACAGATTGGATAATTGCAATTTTCAAATTAGCTATAGGGGAGAAGTTAGCCTTTAACTCAACTTTTGCAACAAGTATTCCAAAGCAATAAAATTCGGAAAGTTGAAGATTAATTTTGATCATCAAAGTCGATGGAGAAATTGCAATTGAATATAAACCACACACTCAGCTTAACCATTGGGAATCAGGAGCATACTCGTCACTGGTCTTGCCAGGATCATGGTTATGTACTCTGTATCGGATTGTTCGGTATATGTCCATCTTTGACTCCAAAGAAAATTGTCATAATATGCAATCACACCCTCAGAACCACATGAGATTAGTGTCTCAGACCAAGCTCAATCTTAAATGCATTTACCTCTCCACATCATCCATGAACAGGACAGGAGCAGTAATTATAGATCATGATACTATTGTCCTCAAAACAAAAAAAGTAAAATTAAAGATTAGATCTGGCCATGATTTCACCCTCTAGCCACCAGTCATCAATATTGCTAAACATCATCACTTTTTTGAGAGACTTTTCAGGATAATGGATAATTGTCATTTCTCCACTTCTAAGTTTCTTGGCAATTTCATGCAGTGCAACTAACATATGACATACTCCCAAGAGAAAATCCAACACTGTTTAGTCAGACATTTAGAGTGGAATCTTTCCAGATACTGAATGATATTGGCATTGGTGGAAAAGTTGGAAAAATCATGTGAGATGGGCAGCAAAGAGTTTCTCGATGTTGAAAGCAAAAAAGTCCTATTTTCCAACCAAGTTTTAAACGTTGAGGTAAAATTCTCACTAATGAGCTATGAGTGGGTTATCTGCATATGCTAGCATTAACATAACATTACCTCATAGAGACATAGAGATGTACAACACGGAAACAGACCCTTTGGTCTAACTTGTCCATGCTGACCAGATATTCTACATTAATCTAGTCCCATTTGCCAGCATTTGGCTCATATGCCTCTAAATCCTTCCTTTTCATTTAACCATCCAGATGCCTTTTAAATGTTGTAATTGTACCAGCCTCCGCCACCTCTTCTGGCAGTTCATACCATACACACACCACCTCATGTGTGAAAATGTTGTCCCTTAGGTCTGTTTTAAATCTTTTCCCTCTCACCTTAAACCTATGCCTTCTACTTTTGGACTCCCCTACCTTGGGAAAAAGGCCTTCACTATTTACCCCTCATGCTACTATAAGGTCACCCTTCATCTTCCAAAGCTCCAGAGAAAACAGCCCCAGCCCATTCAGCCTCTCCTTGTAGCTCAATATCTCCAACCCTGGCAACATCCTTGTAAATCTTTTCTGAACTCTTTCAAGTTTCACCACATCTTTCCTATAGCAGGGAGACTGGAATTGCACGCGGTATTCCTAAAGTGGCCTAAAATGTCCTGGACAGCCGCAATGTGATCTCCGAATTACTATACAAAAAATAGTACAGGCCCTGTTGGGATTTGAACCCAGGATATCCAGTTTGCCTGGGTAGGCACTTTGATCAACTAAGCCATGGTACTGCAGTTGGGAAAGTAGGCCGTTTGGCTGCTTGAGTCTACACCTCGCTTATCTCTGTCTAGATTCCCATTCTACCAACTGTTGGAGAAATCCAGATGACAATAATTCCTGACATGAAAGCAGACTGATTTCCTGGTGATTCAAGCTTTCTGCTTGCTTCTCCCAACCTCTATCATGGACACCAGATACAACCATCCCAGGGCATGCTACATAGACAGCAACTACATGCGCCACCCTCAAAGAGCCTTTGAATCTGACACCTATCTTACCGCATCCTTATGCCACACTGCTGCTCCACTTATAATTCAGTTCTGCTCTTCAGTGCTACACTTTGGAGTGCATTGGCACCTTCATAGGAGCTGAAGGAACAAGATGACTTGGTAACGCCATCTCAATCAAACGTCCTGAGGATCAGCCAATGTTTTTATGCTAGACTGTACCACATGAAGGGCACAGACAGCGCGACCTTCCAGTTGTTCCTATCGCTGAATTTTCCAACAAGCACCAAGACGTAGCTTGGTGAGAAGTGCACTGCCCATCAGATCCTTCAATTATGCCCAGTCTGTCTGCACCACCACTTGCTGCCCTCGAAACATTTGTAGGATGATGAGACTGTCACACTTCTCCTTCTGAAATGTGCCTTTGCAAACAAGGTCTGGAGAGAAATAATGAATAACACCAAAAGAACTGCGGATGCTGTAAACCAGAAACAAAGACAGAAATTGCTGAAAAAGCTCAGCAGGTCTGGCAGCATCTGTAAAGAGAAATCAGAGTTAATGGTTTGGGTCTGGTGACCCTTCCTCAGACTGATGGTAGCTAGGAAAATGTTGATTTATATGCAGAAGATAAGGTTGGAGGAGGGAGTAAGGAGTAAATGATAGGTGAGGATAGAGGCCAAAAAGAGAGAACAGCAGTTGGACAGAAAATGGAATGGATAATGATCTGGCTAGGAGGGTGAATAGCTGTTAATGCAGACTGTTAGTGGCTAACAATAGATAGTGTGTAATGGCAGGCTATGTGATAACAAGGCCTGGTGTATGGGATAGGGGGTTAGGACATGGGAGAGTTCAGGTCCTAAAATTATTGAACTCGATAATGAATATGGAGGGCTGCAGGGTCTCCAAGCGGAAAATGCGATGTTGTTCTTCCAGCTTGCGCTGAGCTTCGCTGGAACACTGCAACAAGCCTGAGCCCGCATGGTCCCCAGTTATACCTGTCTCTTCATGGGGTATGTGGAACATTCCTTGTTCCAGTCCTATTCCCAACTCACTAACAACTCTTCCTTTGATATATTGATGATATCATTGCTGCTTCCCTCTCTTGTTTAGAATTCGAAAGGTTCATCGATTTCGCTTCCAATTTTCACCCTGCCCTCACTTTCACCTGGTCTATCTATGACTCCTTCCTTCCCTTCCTCAACATCTCTGTTTCCATTTCTGGGGATAGACTAGCCACCAATATCCAATATTAACCCACCAACTTCCACAATATACATCCTCGCACCCTGCTTCCTGTAAAGACTCTATTCAATTCTCTCAGTTCCTCCGTCTCTGTCGCATATGTTCCGATGATGCCAATTTGACAAGGGAGCCTCCAAAATGTCCACCTTTTTCCTCAACTGAGGATTCCCCAGCACCGTTGTTGACAGGGCACTCAACCGGGTCCGAACCAACTCCCACACTTCCGCCCCTCACCCCTTCATTCCCTCCCGCAACACGATAGGGTTCCCCTTATCCTCACCTACGATCCCACCAGCATCCACATCCAGAAAATCATCAGCCGCCATTTCCGCCACCTCCAGCAAGATATTCCCCTCCCGTCCATTGTCTGCTTTCCGTAGGGACTGTTCCCTCTGGGATACCCTGGTCCACTCTTCCTTCATTCCCAACACCCAACCCCCCCACAGCCCCACAGCACATTCCCCTGCAATTGCCGAAGGTGTAACACCTGCCCATTTACCTCCTCCCTCCCCAGTATCCTAGGGCCCAAACCTTCCAGGCGAAGTGCTTCACCTGCACTTCTCACAATCTAGTCTATGGCATTCGCTGTTACAATGTGGTCTCCTCTACATTGGGGAAACGAACCGTAGACTGGGTGACCGCTTCACATAACAGCTACATTCTGCTCGCAAAAAAGACCCTGAGCTACCTGTTGCCTGCCACTTGAATGCACCACCCTGTTCCCTGGCCAACATCTCTGTCCCTAGCTTGCTGCAGTGTTCCAGTGAAGCTCAGCACAACCTGGAAGAACAACTCCTCATTTTCCACTTGGGAACCCTGCAACCTTCTGGACTCAATATCGAGTCCAATAATTTTGGGGCTTGAACTCTCCCACGTCCTAGCCCCCTACACACCGGACCTTGCTATCACATAGTCTGTCATTACACACTACCTATTGTTTGCCATTAACAGCTATTCACCCTCCTAGCCAGATCGTTATCCACTCCTTTGTATTTTCAACTGTTCTCTCTCTTTGGGCTCTATCCCCACCTATCACTTACTTCTTACCGCCTGCCCCCACCCTATCTTCTGCATGTAAACTGACATTTTCTGAGCTACCATCAGTTCTGAGGAAGGGTCACCGTACCCGAAACATTAACTCTGATTTCTCTTTCTAGATACTGCCAGATCTGCTGAGCTTTTCCAGCAATTTTTATTTTTGTTTAAGGTTTCGAGAGAGATGCAGTGGCTTTCGTTGATGTTCGTCCTGATTAGCTGCGTGATGCAGGACTCTATGCACTACAGGCTGTTCCCTGAGACTTGCACCAACACAAACACCGACTGCGCCTGTAGGACCATCAACTCAGTGAAAGATGCTCTTTGGTCTGCCTGAAACTTGTTGGCTTTCCAGTGCAAAGAGTTGACATCAACCGAGTGTTGCAGACTGGGACATTACAAGATCCAAGACTAGGTGCTGAGGGACCAGTAAAGGACCACCTTAGCGAGGTGCCACTAAGGTGTAATGGGGAAAGACCAGTGTCTGAAGTCTTTCTGGTGAAGTGAAACAGGGGTCCGTTCAGTTCTCAGACCCCTCATTATCTCAGAATGTAAATAATTTATTCCTGCATGAGTTAAAAATGCCCTTGCTGTTTGCAGTAGTTCTGTGGGGTGTAAAATTCCAATGTATCGTTTGGGTTTCTTTTTCCTCAATGGAAAGATCATACAGTACAGAATAAGAACCTTTTTTATGAATAAAGTATATTTTTGCAATAAAAAATAATCACTTAAGAGGTTGGACAGGTTGCTATATGACACAC